CAGGCCCAGGTAAGGTATGTAGTTCCTTCCTCTTGGGATTGGCCAGGCAGTCCTGAGAGGTGGGGGAGGTGAAGAAAGCTTGGCCTGCCTGTGATGAATGGATTAATCAACCAACATGAAGAAACTAAATAATTAAACATAATCACTCCCCAATCCAGGCAGGACAATATAGCTGAGGTAGAGAGGAAACTCTGAGGTCCAGACCAATAATCTAGAGGTAGGTGTGGTGGTGCTTGGGCAGGGAAGCATGAACAGAACTCTCTAGACCAGGAAGACACACTGATAGGCAGGTAAACAGACAGACAGACAGACAGGCATGCCTCTCTGGTGCTACAGACTCTCTCCAAGTGGAACTGCAACAGCTTTGGAAAAAAAGCCACCCCCACATCCACTAACACAGGCTAAGAAGAGGATCTGGGGTCTTCTCACCCTTCCCAGAGCCCTTCCTGCTCCTCCATGGAAAACGTGGGAATGCATGTGGATGGTGAATAGTACTCAGCGACTGCCTGGAACCTCGGCTTTCTTTAGCCATAGGATCAACTTTGGCCTTCTGGAATCTCCACCACTTCCCACCCATGACAGGCCCATTTCCTGCCATGTGGCAAAATGGTAGATGATCCCTTCACACATGTCCCCCTGCTTCCCTCAGAAAGCAAAACAGTGAAAAGTATTGGGAGTAGAATTGACAGGGCTAAATTCTGATTAAAAATGTCTTCTTCCTAAAACTCAACTAAATTGAGATTAAAGGAATAAAAAAGATGTATACGAAAGGGCAAAAAGAATGGGAAATGAAATATTAAAGAATGGAAGTGTTCAACATATTTTATAAGACTGTAAGCTTAAGAGTGGTAAATTACAGAAGGAGGAAACTACTGTATACCTGCAGAAGTGAAGTATTCCTCGAAGGAAGTCAGTCCACTCCATAGAACTCCAGAAAGCCTCAGGATGCAAAGCATCAGACATCTCAGATGGTGAGTGGTGGCACAGGGACAAAAACATAAGAATTGTTAGAAACAGGCTACTACCCACCCTATTCCCCCTGCTCCTCCTGCCTCTCTCCACACCTAATAAACCTGATGATGCAGAGACAAAACGACTCCAGTGGACATTCCATCCTGTTCAAAAAGAGGAAGAACAGAAAGCATATAACAGTCATCAATCCATAGTAATTCACTACTCAGGCACTTGTCAGATATTCATACTCTAAGACAGAGATGTTCTTCATTTTGTTCTCTGGGAATGGTTTCATAATCTACCTTTTTGAGGTTCTTGCTTCTGCCCTCTGGGCTCGTGGCTTTTCCCCCTAAGAAACATTTATTTTTCATAAGAAATGGTTTGTATTTGCAACTGTGTAGCTTTTTCATCTTCTCTCTGTCCATAGAAAGTTGGAGACCCAGAGATCTTTTTCTTTTCAAATAGTCATTGTTTTTCATAGTCTAAGGTTTTGGTTTTATCAAAACACTTCCCTTAAAATCTTTGTGGGTATTTTATGAATCTTACTGGAATTCATTCCATGCCCCTCAAACCACATCCATGCTTCTTTCTAAGACAGAGCTCTCTCTACTTTGGGTGTGTCAGATTGCTATGGGATAACGCCCTTATGTTTCTTAGAAGCCCTTTTGTCTAGATGAGAGGGTCCATAAGGCACTGTTTAATTCCTAATATGGTCTTACAGCTGAACTCTTAAGTTGATCTTGACCTCAAGGCCACATTTTGCCTGAAATGTCCTAGATTCAATCTTTCTTCTGAGGTCCTTTCTTATTTCAATGATATTTTGTCTGATTTCTGCTTGAAAATGAAACAGTTCCTTCTTTAGTTTCTCTCTTTTGCAATACCTTATGATATGTAGTTAAAATAAATCAATAGGTACTTCCAATGTCTGCCTGGGAATCACCTAAGCCAGATCCAAAGTTCATGAAGTATGTTTTCTATGTTCCAAGTTATTAGAGGTGGCAGTGCTGCCAAACATTTTGCCACTACATAACATTGATTAGTCTTTCTCCAGCCTCCAATAACAATTTTCTCACTGTTCTTCCAAGCTCCACTTGCTGTCTTTCCAGACTCTGTCTGCTGCCTGGTCCCAAAGCCAATGTCATATGTTTTAGGTTTTAGTTACGGAAGTATTCCACTTCTGTATATCAATTCTGTAAGTTATCTATTGCTAAATAACAAAGCACCCCAAAAATTACTGGCTGAAAACAAGAACCACTTATTTATTTGTGATTCTACAGTTTGGGCAATTCTTCTGCTTATCTTGTGTGGACTCATTCATGAGGCTGCAGTCATCTACCATCCTGGAGGATCTAAGATGGTTCTGCTTGCATGTATGGGGCCACTCGCTGCATGCGATTTTTTATCACTATTGAGGCCTACACTTAGGAAGTCACATGATATCACATCTGTCTTATTCTATCAGTCAAAATAGTTCACAAGGCTAACCCAGAAACAAGGGATAGGGAAATAGACTCTCTTGATGAGAGGAGTTGCAAAGAATTTACCATATTTAATTTCCCATAGGTAACTGCAAAAATTTTAAAGCAAATATAATATTTAATGATTTTGTGTTGAATGCAATATAGCATAAAGAAAAGACAGATACACAATATCACCATTTTCACTTAACACATTACTAGAGGTTTTAGCCAGTGCAATAATGCAAGAAAATGAAATAAAAGTTACATGCTTAGAAAGGAAGAGATAAATTTATCATTATTCTCTATACAGTTGAAAACTTAGAAAATTAAAAAATATATGGATGAACTATTAGAATTAATAAATGAATTTAGTTAGGGTGATGGCTTCAAGACTAATATACAAAAGTTAATTGTAATTCTATATTTATACTGAAAATAAGTAATTAGAAAATGAAATTTTACCATTTAAAATATCATAAAATATCAAAGAAATAAAATAAACCTAAAAAAGATGTGAGATCCCTATTCTTAAAAAGTATAAAACGTTAAGAGAAATTACAGACCCTTAAATAAATGGAGTGATATACCATTTTAATGGAATGAAAGATTCAACCCTATATGATGCTATCTCAGTTTCCTAGGCCTGCTGTAACAAAATGCTACAAAGAGAAATATTTTGTATCACAGTTCTAGAGGCTCAAAGTCCAAAATTAAGGTATCAGTGGAGCCATGCTCTTTCTGAAACCTGTATGAGAGAATCCTTCCTTATCTCTTCTAGCTTCTGGTGTTTATCACTAATTCTTGGCATTCTTGACTTGCACTTCAATCTCTACCTCAATTGTCACCTGGCGTTCACTTCCATGGTACGTGTCTCTACATCTCCTCTTCTTATAAATACACTAGTCATATAGCATTGAAGGCCAACCCTACTACCACATGACCTCATCTTAACTAATTACATCTGCAACGACCCTACTTCCAAATAAAGTCAAATTCTGAAGATTGAGACTTCAACATATCTTCTTGGAGGACACAATTCAACACAATGAATAACAAATGCCAATTCTCCAAAACGGGTCTACAGTTTTGGTGCAATACTAAACAAAATCCTAGCTGATTCTAAAGTTTATAAGGAAAATTTTGTTGCATTTTGCAAACTGATTCTAAAATTAACATGAATGTGCAAAGGACCAAGAAAAGCCAAAACAGTCTTGAATAACATAATGGGAAGGAGAACTTCTACCAGATACCAAGATTTATTATGAAGCTGTTACAGAAATTAAGACAGTGTGATATTTCCACAAAGAGACAAAAAGAACAGATTCTATAGTCCTGAAATAAACTCACACCTTAAAGACAACTTATCTATGTAAAGGTGACAATACAGAGCATTGGGGAAAGGACAGGCTTTAAAAATTAGCGCTTAATCAGTCTAATATTCAAATGGAAAAAAATAAAACTTGACTTACACCACACACAAAAAACAACTTTAGGTGGATTGTAGATCTAAATGAGAAAGACAAAGTATTAACAATTCCAGAAATTAATAAGGACCTTTGGTGGGAAAACATTTCTTAACAGGACACAAGAAGCACTAAGCATGAAGGTCTTTTATGTTCATCAAAAGACACTAATAATAAAGTGGAAAGGCTGTCCACTGAGTGGGAGAAGATATTGCAATACATATAATCAACGAAGGGCTCATATCCAGAATACACATCTGTAGAAAATGGCAGACAGTCCAATACAAAAATGGGTAAGAGACTTGAACAGGCACTTCATAAAAGAAGATATCCAGATATCCAAAAACATGAAAATGGACTCAATCTAATTTGTATTCTGGGAAACCCAAATTAAAATCACAATGAAATACCATGATACATCCACCAGAATGGTAATATTAAAAAGATGTACAGTAGTTGTTACTGGCAAGAATGTGGGGCAACTGGAACTCTCATAAATGGCTGGTGGGAGTGCAAACTGAAACCACTACTTTCTAAAATTGTTTGACGTTATCCAGTTAAATTTTACAAATACATAAGCAATTTCGCTGCTAGGTATAAACCTAGCACATGTGCATATGTGCCACAAAATACAGAAATGTTCACAGCAGCATTATTCCTAATAGCTAAAAATTGTAAACAAGTCAAATGTCCATTAGTAGTAGATAATTAAATTGTAACAAACTCATAAAATGGAATACTACACAGCAGTCAAAATGAATGACCGACAGCCTTACAAATCATGGATGTATCTCTGAAACAATGTTGAATGAAAAAATACCAAATCTTGATTTTGAACAACTTAATTAACCTCTTCATTTACATCTCCCAGATAAAAATTTGTACGTCTTTGGGTTGTGGTGAGAATTAAGTGGAATGATGCATGTCAAGTGCTTAGCAAGTACTTAGCTTGAGAAATGTCAGCTATTATTTATTATGTTCTTTTAGCAGACCACCTTCCTGGAAATGAGCATTAAAAAATGGTGCAGAACACTTACAGGGCCATCTAACGCCCCTAACATTCTCTCCCAAACCCCTCCCTCTATCTTTTCGTAAGGGGATCTCGGTCTCTTTAAGAAGCCAGCCATAACTGAGGAAAGAGGAATGCTGGGAAGATCTACTCAGCTCAGGTTTGGAGCATGACGGGAAAGAGGGCGGAGACCAGGGCTGCGCACGCGTGGTTGTCCGGTTGTTGCGTTCTGATGGATCAGGGGAAAGAATTCCAGTAAGAGAACATAATTCTCGCCCCGGCGCGGGGACCTTGGAGCCTATCACTTCTCCCCCGACCAGTGCTCTCCAGGGTAAGGAGGAGACCAGAAGTTGAGCGCGGCGGGTGGTGGTGGAAGGAGCTGCGCGGGGCGGGGTCGCGCCACGTGACGGGGCGGGCTCCGGGTGGGGGCGGGGCCGGGCTGGCTGCGCGGCTGACGCTGTGCGGATTTCGCTGGGACGCGCTGGCAGGCGTTTGCAGGTTGCGTTCTCTTCAACTGATACAACGTTGCCGCGTTTGTACTCTGTGACGCGCGTGGGAATTATTGGTGGGGACAAGAATTTCGGAGTGAATACTACTATGCTTGGAGGAGGGATGAGCGCCCTTAGACTGTTATAACTGTGGGCAAGTGGACCTAAGTTTCCATCTCTTCTTCCGCATAGGCTTTTAAACCAGTTGCCCATGCCAGCCAAGCCTGGCTTGACTGCCCGGATAAAGACAACTTTGGGGAGCGACCTTTTTGCTTTAGGTTAAATGTCCTGTTTAGTTCATTTACTATTAGAGGAAGGGAATTCTGCTGAATGGCTAATAGAATTTCTTATTTACAGGAAGGCGAAGGTGAAGCAGAGTTTAGAAGGGCTCATTGCTGGGTATGGCTCCCATAGAGACTCTGAAAGATGCAAGCGGTCTGCTTTAAGTAAGGGAGTTCCCTTGTGATGGCATCTTAGGCCAGGAAATGGGGCCCTTATGGAGGCCTCTAGTAAAGCCCTAGTTAGAGATGGGGGTGGGGAGCTCGGTGTGCCCCACTTTGAGAATTAAAAGCTTAGGTTGGCCTCCAAGTACTACTCATGGAGTCAGAAACCATTTCTGAGTCCTTTTCTCTAAGAGCTTGCTAACTTCTTCCCACGTAGGTCTGCTGGTCTCATTCCCTCTGAGGAGAGTGCTTGTCTTTAAAGATATTAGGGAAGTCAGAGCTAGTCTAGAAGACTGTTTTCTTATGTGAAGGTAGCTAATAAAGGAACAGAAAGCAGGAAAAAAGGAGAATAGAGTGAGTCATGGCCCAAGGAAATTTTTTTTCCCCCAAGTGCTCAACCCTAAAGCCTTGTGCTCAACACAAAGCTTTTAATAGAGATAAACATGAATGTATATGTATATAAAAGAATAAACCTGAGTACCAATCCTTTATATTGTGTTTTAGGAGCCTAACTATCCATTACCAAGAAGAAATCTATTTAGACTGGGGAATTCCTTTACATAAAAAATTAGAATGAAAGAACCTTTGGATGGTGAATGTGGCAAAGCAATGGCACCACAGCAGGGGGTTCTGGACAAAATTAAAGAAGAACCTGACAATGCTCAAGTAAGCATTTCATTTTATTTAAAATTTTTAAATTCTTTTCTATCTGCCAAATACAAATTTTTAGTTAGGTAGTTTCTGGCTTTTAAGTTAAAACAACCCAAACTGATTTCCTCCCCTTGCCTTAAGATGAGTAAATCACTTTTTCTGTTCTTCGAAAAAAGATCTGGATAACTATATAATGTTTCATTTTGTAAAAAGAAAGTAATATGTTACCATTTTTTCATACTTGGTACCTTTTTTTTTTTAAATTCTCTTGTACCTGACAATAGTTTTCTTTTATTTTCTAAATATTTGTGGTTACTCTATGCTAGGGGATCCAGAAATGACCAAAGTCATCTTAGTCTATTCCCTCATAGAACTTATAGGTTAGTAGCAGAGATAGACATTATGTAAGTAATTGAGCAAATGATATAATTATAAACTATAAGGGCCATGGAAGAAAAGGCTAAAATGGGGAATCCGATCTAGTTTTGACTGGGGAGAGGCTGGCTAGGAAAGGCTTCTCCGAGGAAAAGATATGTAAAATGATTTATGGAGAATGAATTGACTAGGCAAAGGCATGAAGAGTGTTCTAGGAAAGCCCTGAGTTGGAAAGATACATGATTTTTTTGAAGAACTGCAAGACCAATGGGCCTAAAGCAGAAAATATGAAAATGGTAATGATGTTATGATGATCATAACAGTGCTAATAGATGGTATTAATATATCAATATGTAGTATATGTTATATAAGGACAGAAATATTAATTCATTATTAATACTTATATGTGCTTGAACTGTGCCAGTCACCATTCTCACAAACCATATTATTATCCTCATTTTACAGATCAGGAAACCAGAGTACAAAGAGGTCAAGCAGTTTACCACAGATCACAGGTCATAAATGGCAAAGACTGGATTCAAATCCAGGTAGTCAGACTTCAAAGCCTATGCTATCTTGCTTCTAGGAGGAGGCTCTGTAGGTAGTTTGAGGCCAGCTTATGCAGGACATTGTGGACCTTGTTATGAATTTTGGTCTTTATCCTGAGAGCAAGGGGAAACCATTGTGGGGCTTTAAGTGGGAGAGTAAGATTAACGTGTTCAGAAAGATCATCTGGCTACCATTTAAGGCCCCAGATTGGAGTTTGTGGAGAGCAGTATGGAGAGACTGGTTAGTTGTTTTGACAAGAAAATCATTTCTCTTTTTTCTTGGACAGTTCTTTTGCTCTATACTCTGTACTTTATTGCATAAGCAAAGCAACAATATTAAAATATAAATAATGTAAATAACAAAATAATAAATAATATTTGATAATATTTTATTTCTCATGCCATCTCGAAGACAGTATCGTTCCAGGACAGGGATGCCAATTAGATTTTGTCTCACTCATCAACTTAATGCCTTCATAGAGTGTTGTGCTCTACAGAATGTGGAGTGGGGATAGATGGTGGCATCCATGATATTTATTTTCCCTCCAGATGGTAAATTCTTCTTCCGTTAGAAGTAACCACTTTTTTTTTGGTCAGGTTTTGTGGATTCTACCTTTTAAGTTTTTTTTGACTCTCTCTTTCTTTTTCTCCCTATATTTTTATTTTTCATTTGAACTTTTATAACAATTTCCTACTCATCCTCTTTCCTTCAGTCACAGTCTCCATCGAAATACCGTCTAGTGATGACATAGTACTGTTTAGATCTGATGATACTATTCCCTTAAAAGACTCTGTCCCATCCTCTTTAAACTATTCCTGTTTAGGCGTTGTTTCCCTCTTTAGTATCATCACTCATTCTTTTCACTTTTTTCTAATCTGTGCTCCTGAAAACTATTTTCATTTCACTCAAAGGTATATTCTGTTTAATTTTGTTTCCTTGCCTTTGCACATGCCATTTCTTCTGCCTGTGGTATCCTAAACTAGGTAGCCTGGCAAAATTTTTCTTCTCCTTTAAGATACAGTTTAATGTCACTAAAGGGTAGAATTAATCTTTTTTTTTTTTTTTTCTATTGTATAGTGTTTTCACTTTTATTATGACATCTACAGGTCAATGAATTTTGTTTCATACAGGATCTTTTCTTATTTGACCAGAATCCCCATTTCCTAGCACAATGACAGGCACAAAATACATGCTCAATAACTGTCATAAAAGAACCTCTGTTTTACAGATGAGGAAACAGCCTGAAGGAACAAGTGATTTCACCAAGGTCCCATGGCAAAGCTGGGATACAAACCAGTTTTTTAAAATTCCAGACTCAATATTTCTTTATTATACCTTGTCTATAATATAAAAATTTAACAGATATTGTGCTGCGAGTTAATTGAGTGTTCTGAATATAAAAATTATGATAATGAAAATCCCACTAACAGCATACATTGTAAATATAAGAGGATAGAGACCGACTCAATTCTCTTTGGTTTCTATTAAGGCTATTCAAGATGAATCAAGGAGAGGTAATTTTTTATTATTGAGAGTGGACTACAATAGAAAAGTCATTTAAACATAGTGTGAGCTGTTTTCCATGTTGCAGTTGAATAAGGGAAAATAGGAGACAAGAAAATGAAATGTTTATTTTCTGATATAGTAAGACTCTGCTCTGGATATTAAAGTTATGGTTGCTCTCATTTATTCATTCAGTGAGTTTTTATTCTTTCTTACTATATAATCCATAGCACATACTGGACATCGTTGTAAGCAGTTTACATATATTAATCCATTTGATGCTCACAACCCTAAAAATTAAGTACTGTTATTATTTCCACTTCACACACGAGGAAGCTGAGACACAGAGTAGTAAGCCGAGTAACTTGTTAAAGGTCACACAACTAGTAAATGGTTGAGCTAGGATTTGAACCCAAGAGCCTGGGTCAAGAGCATAAACCCTTAACCAGGTTACCACAGGCTAAGTTGTGTTATTTATTTTCAGAAATGCTGCAAAGATGAAAAGATAGGGCCTCTGCTCTCAAGGGAATTGGTAGAGGTAATTATTGAGAGAGGTAATTATTGAGTGACCACCTCATCAGAAGCTATGCTGAGCACGTTTTATGCATTCTCATTTAAACTCTACAACCTTATAAATAAAATAGCCTTACCCCATTTTACAAATGAGGAAAGTGAGGCAAAGAGAGGTTAAGTAACTGACTGAACTGTAAGCATCAGAGTTTGAATAGGAACTTAGTTTTGACTGGCTTCAAACTTGTATTCTTTCTGTTGCTTTGTGCCACCTCTATAGAGATACAGAATCACAGTATTAGGCAATTACTGTAATAAAAAAAAAATTGTGCAAGGTGCATTGGAAGCACAGGGAAAGGAACCTTTAAGTCTGAAGAGGAGAAGAAAGTTTCACAGGGCAGGTAGCATTTGTATTATAACAATTAAGACTTTCAGGCAGAGAAAACTGCATGCGCCATGTCAGGGAGATGTGAGAGAATGTAGTATGTTTAGTGGTTGAGTATTTCAACAATAAAGTCGGAAGAGAATAGATTTAAGATATTTAGGTAGAAACCTGTTAGAATGGCTGTCATCAAAACATGTTGGAGAAGATGTTGAGAAAAGGGAATCGTGCACTGTTGCTGGGATTGCAAATTGGTGCAGCCACTATGGAAAACACTATGGAGATTCCTCAAAAATTAAAAATAGAATTACCATATGACCAAGCAATCCCACTTTTGGGTATTTATCCAAAGAAATCTAAAACAATAATTCAAAAAGATAATGCACCCCTATGTTCATTGCAGCATTATTTACAATAACCAAATTGTAGTGGCATCCTAAGTGTCCATCAATAGATGACTGGATAAAGAAGAGGTGGTATGTATATAATGGAATGTTACATTACTTGGCTGTAAAAAGAATGAAATGTTACCATTTGTGACAACATGGATGGACCTAGAGGGTACCGTGCTAATAAGTCAGAGAAAGGCAAATACCATATGATTTCACTTATATGTGTACTCTAAAAAACAGAAGAAATAAAACAGAAACTCATAGGTACAGAGAACTAATGGTTGCCAAATGGGAGGGAGGTTGGGGGACTTGGTGAAAATGGTGAAGGGATTAAGAAGTACAAATTGGCAGTTACAAATTAGTCACAGGGATGTAAAGTACAACATAAGAAATATAGTAAATAATTTAACTCTGTGGTGTCAAGGAGGTAACTAGACTTAACGGGGGATCGCTTTGTAAGTTATATAAATGTCTAACCACTATACTGTACACATGAAACTAATATAATATTGAATGTCAACTGTAATTAAAGATAGGTAGAATCGATCAAACTTAGAGATAGCATATAAGGTATGAGAATCAAGGAGTAGTCCAGGAATACAAGTTTCTGGCCTCAGTAAATTGAGTGATGATACTGTTTACTGAGGAACAGGATATGGAGGGAAATAATAAGTGTGGTTTGAGATTTGTTGTGTTTAAGGGGATAGTGGGACATCTAAGTGGTAATTTGCACTGGAAGGCATTTGCATGTATGGATGTGGTATTTAGAAATTAGAAAGTTTATCCACTTGTGGGTGTAGTGTTGCTAGATAAAATATAGAATGCCTAGTTAAATTTGACTATCAAATAAACAATGATTATTTTATATAAATGCATTGCATGCGATATTTGTAACATAGTTATACTAAAAAGTTATTCGTCATTTATCTGAAATTCAAATTTAACTGTTTTATATTTTCATTTGCTGTATCTGGTAACCCTAGTCGAAGTCTTGAATGTGAATGAAATTGTTCAGAGAACAAGAGTAGAGAGAGGAGAGGAGAGCTCAGGATAGAAAGCTCAGAACTGGATTAATGTCGGGTCTTCAGAGTGGCTTCAAAGTAGTTCCCCAGCCAGCAACCTCAGCATTACCTGGGCACTTGTTAGAAATGTATATTGTTGGGGTCCTGCTCCAGACTTACTGAATCAGAATCTTGGGGGCTGAAGCCCAACAATCTATGTCTTAACAAGACCTCTAGGGGCTTCTGATGCTACTGAATTTGGGAACCATTGACTTTAAAGGTGAATGTAAGATCAGTGAAGGATACTAAGATATAGTAATGAATTTAAGTAAAAGAGTCGGAAAACAATGAATGGAACCATTGGCAGTGTCAGATATATCTGAAAGATAGAACTTAAAAGTATTTATTGGATCATGCAATTGTGAGATGATTGGTTATCTTGGTAGACAGTTTCAGTTGAAGCAGTATCTTAATAGCATTGGATTCTGGAGGGTGTCAAAGTGAGAGAGTAGAGAAAGAATGGAGTACTTTTTCTTTTGTAAAGGGAGAGAGAAGAGGGCAGTAATTCCTAAGGGAATACATTTCTTATGTTGACTGGAGGAAAGAAGATACTTACGAAGAAGGGCTCCTGGTAGCTGACTGGGCTCAAATTTAAAAACAGGCTAGCAACCATTTCTAACTAGGGGCCTCTCATGCAAGCCACACTTCAGGAAGAAGCTTGCACTAACGTGCCTGCTACCTGAGCTGAACTTCCTGTCTCCCACACTGAACAGCCTAAGAGTACTGTGTTCCTCTGGTCTGAGCCAACCCTTAAGGAGTTCTTGGAATTATATTTCAACTGATAGGGCTGAGACTTTCCACGTCTGATTGGAGCTGCATAGCTATATTCCCATTAGCATCTTTACCAACCAATCAGAACAATGCTTTTTGGACCAATCAAACTGTGAGGATTGGAGTCTTCATTTGCATGAGGATGGACTAATCAGGGACGAGGGGTGGGGATTTCTCTCTATATAAGTCAGCTCCCCTCTGGCTTCAGGTGCACACTTACCATTTCCATTGAACCACACTTACCATTTCCCTGACTGGAGACATCTCTGGACCAAAACAGAGTGGAAGCTGTCCTGTTTCACTAGGCCTGAACAGAGTGGGGCAGAGCTATCTAACTGGAGAGGACTATCTCACCTGAGGGCCACCTTGCAGCTGTGCTGTTCCAAAGCCATGCTATTTCATAATTGAGTTGTAATAACTGTTGATCTGTTCCATAGCCATGCTCTATCACAGTTGAGGTGTTTGCTCTGAATAAAGTCTCTTTTGTCACTGCACCCCAAATTGGAGATTCCTGTTGGCATTGAATTGGTGCCAACACCATTGGTTGATAAAAGTAGAGGGGAAGAAACCAATATGGAGGTGGAGAGAGGCTGAAGATACACAAAGATAGTATGGAGTGCTAAAAGGAGAGAAGGAAAGAGATCTTGAATGCAAGCACTGTTGTTGCCATTGCTAAGAAGGTTGCCTTTTCCTGTAACATAGGACAGTTTGCTGATCAATTTGTAGTCATGGCAGAAGGGGGAATCAGGATGTTGAGTTGCTTTTCTTGGCGAAATTGAAAGATCATTGTGAGTAGGAACTATTGAGGTTGGGACTTGTAAGTGATGAAGGTTTTAGTTACTTTGTGAAGTAAAAGGAACTGACCAGGGAAATGTAACAGGCATATTAGAAAAATATTAGAGATTGAGTGGATCATAAGGCAAAGTAATTTTTATTGAATCTTCAGTGTTCTTTTTAGTAAATTGAAGAAGGTATATATACCTTGCAATTCTCTTTTTGCAAGTGTCACTAAATATTGTTACTTAAGTATAATGTTTTAGGAACATCCACTCTGGATTCAGTGGAGTTGGGTTCATTCATTGAACAAATATTTATTAAATGTCATAATTATAAAAATAAGAGCTAGCATTTTTATGGGTAAATCATGCTTAACTTTTGGCTAACTGTAAGGTATCGTGCTACATACTTTATTTGTATTAAATAATTTATGCCCCCATAATAGCCCTATGGATTAAATAATATCTTTATTTTGTAGATAAGGAATTTGAAAATAATGTTAAATAACTTGTTTGAGCCAAGATCACATCTATTTCTTCTGTCAGAACCCATAGTCTTCTCTGTTATGTTATATTGTCTGTGCTGGGTGTTGAGTGTATAGAGGTGGAAAAACAAATATGGTTTCTGTACATAGTGGGACATGGTTCTTTCAGAGTGTGTGTGTGTGTGTGTGTGTGTGTGTGTGTGTGTGTGTGTGGTGTGCAGGGGAGGAGAAGGTGTTAGAAATTAAACAAATCATCACCCAAGTCAGCATGCAATGTGTTGTGACAGGTACTATAAGTAAAAGAAGATAAAAGAGAGTATAGCAGGAGACCTTACTTTCAATTGGGGGCCAGGGTTCGAATTCGTTATAGTAGTTCTGTTTTGTTGTATTTGTACATCTATGGGCGAGACATCACGGGTTTTGGATACTTGGGTTTAATTTCCATCTGTGCACTTAGTATCTTTGTGACCTTAGACAAATTGTTGAACATCTCTAAGCTTCACTTTCCTCATCTGTACCTTACAAGCAGCAGCTTATTTGGTGCTGTAATGAACATCATGGAAGTAGTAAATTAATGCAGTGGTTTCTAGTCTTTGGTATTTAATAGTTCAAAGAAATTTCAAAAGTAACTTTGGGAACTGATAATATCAGTCATTTATTTTGCTTTGTTTAGGGATATTAAAAATACAGCTACCCTTTTTTTAATCACCATTATTTGAGAAAAGTAAGACTATTTTTAAAAACTTTATTTTGAAATACGTAAGGCTATTTTGACAAAAAAATAGGATGGTTGTGATCTCAAAATAAAGACAGTCTTTTTTAAGAGGTATATGTATTTTTAAAATTTTGTTTCATGATTTTATTTTAAAGCATTTTAATGACTATGTTAAGGGTAAATCTGATTTAGGCTGTGATGATTTTATAAATAATGAACAGATGGCGTTGAAACTCCTATATTTTTTCTGCTGTTAACAGATGTGACAGCTTGCAAATCTCTTAGCTGAAGTTACTAATTTGATATAAACTGTAAATTATTCAGATTTAATTTAATTTATTGTTCCCTTATAAACACAGCCTAAGAAAAGGTAGCATTGAAAATAGCTATGTATTATTCCTATATACGAAGATTACATTTGAAAGGTAGATATAACCATTATAAAAGATTTTCCAGTTCTGAAAGATCCTTTTTGTAAAGTTTAAATCTAGTTTAATAACTTGTAAATTTTGACTTTTGAGGTAGTTGTGATTATAATTAGAATGTAGAAGAGGTGAATATGACAGGATTATTTTTTTGCTTGAATTTCTAGTTTACAGAGATACTAACACCATATTCATTTCTCTTTCTTTAAGGAGTACGGACATGCCCCAAAGCCAAAAACTGAAGAAAGTGAACTGAAAATTAGTGCTGTGTTTTCAGTCAGTGATAGTCCTCTTGGTAAGAAATAGAACTGCAAAGGTTAATTATGATTAATATTTGTCATATTCCGACTAGTAGAATTTAGGGAAAGTACTTCCTCATGTAAGTTTTTTTCTTCCTTTAGATAAAGCAGTGCTATTCAAACTGGGTAGTTGGTCTTGACCAGCGTTGTAAAAAGCAGAATAGAATGAGATTATATCAGAGTATGATGCTCGTAGTAAGGAAGCATATTATTTCTTGAAACCACTGTTTCAGTTATTAAATTATAGACACATGCACACACACACCTATGTATATGTGGCCTGGCCTATAACGTGAGATGTAGGTTTTACTATGGGTCATGGTTAAAAAGTTTGAAACCCCCTAGTGCTTATTACCTCATTCAAATTGTATCTCAAGACTGATGTATTTGTCCTAAAAAATAGGGAATGTATTATGTGTTCATATTGATACTATAACAGTTTTTTGTTTTGTTTTGTTTTGTTTTTTAATAGCCCAGCAGTTGACCCCAGGCTTTCAGTTTCCTCTTGCATCATCTGGCCCAAATAGATTGCTTCCTTCAGTTCCAGCTGTAGCTTTGCAGGCTATTTGTTCTGGTTGTAAAAAAATGCTTTATAAGGGGCAAACTGCATATCATAAGACGGGATCTGCTCAGCTCTTTTGCTCCACGCGGTGCATCACCAGATATTCTTCACCTGTCTGCCTACCACCACCTCCCAAGAAAACCTGTACAAACTGCTCGAAGTATAAAATTCTTCATTACGTCTTTATTTACTTTACATTTTTAGTTTTCAAATAGTTAAGTTCAAAAATGCTATTGCTACTCTTTAGCACATTTTTAGGAGATAGCTTTTTGGCTAATTGAGAAATCTGCAAATTCTGAAGTTTTATAACAATAAGTGATTTGGTGTTAAAAGTATTGCCTAAATGAGTTTTCCTTATCTCTTTCAGTTTAAATTTTACTGTGGAAAGAAATAAACCATTCGTGGGAATGGTAGGACCACTCATATATCCTGTAATTGTAGACAACAGCTATTCAAAATTATTTGTTATCTTGAATGTTATTGAAGTACATAATATGATATCATTCTTATAATAGTATATGAAAATTATTTAATTCTTTACAAGGTAAAAACTAGCCACAAAAATGTGTTTATTTCTAAAAAAAAATCTTTGTGAGCTTTTTTGGGGGATCATTGTTTTAAATGTACAGATGCAGGAAGAGAAAGAAATAGCAACAAAGTCACATAAAGATCTTTCTCTGCCTTAGTATGTTTGAAGAATTTGGCATGCTTCGCCTATTCCTGTGGTAGTGTAATTCTAGGAATACATTGCGTTGTCAGTAGTCACTAATGTAGAGCAAGAAAAGTTACTTGATTTTAGACCTTGGCTCTATTACTTATTAGCTCTATGACCTTGGCTCAATATTTAACTTTTCTAAGCTTCAGTTTCTTCATTGGTAAATGGTATCTACTTTCTCAGATTTTAATGAGACAATATTAGCACAGGGCCTACCACATAGCAAATGCTTAATAAGTGGGATCTTATTATTTTTAATAATAAAATTAATATTATTATGTATACTTAACATATAATTTATAGGCTCCTATTTTGTCTTTGGAGATATAAGACAGGTTCTTTATCTACTTGATGTGTTGGGCTTAGGTATCTAAAAATAAATCCTGTTAAAATGGAAATCTCCAACTAAAAGGAACGAAGAATTTAAAAATATTTTACTTAAATTTTAAAATTGTTTTGTTTTAAAATGCACTTCTCATACCTTGCTTTAACTTTTATGTCATTCTCATGAAACTAATCTGGAAGAGTAAATTTAGTTTTCTGTTTTAAGATGCTCTATTTCAACATGTCAAATATCAAAAGAAAATGAATTAAATTTTAAAGAACATAGTATAATATTTACATCCAAATGCATATTATTTTCTTAAAAATAGTCACTAGTGTCAGACTTTTAACACAGTGCTGCTCTTATTAAAAAATTTTTCTATTTCTTGATTTGGCGTTGCCTTCAGAGCCTATGAAACATTCCTTTAGACTAAGTTAGGTGACATATCTATCTTTTCAACATGGGTTTGATTTTTGCAAATTGCCAAAAGTTACTTGATGCCTTATTAGCTGACTATTGTAGATGATTAAGCTGAGTCATACTGTTAAACACGATATTTGGCTATAAAATTAAAATTTGTTCTTAGAGTTCTTATAAATTATGAGAGAAACTAGAAAAAAGTTTGAGCCATGTTTTTGTTGGAGGAGTATGCTTTGTAAGATAAATGTTAAGGTGTAATATTCATTTGGATGCATGAGGTTTAGAATGCATTTATATTTATGTGCATAGATTTTCATTAAAAAGACATTCTCATTGGTATACTTATACATACATAATACCACTAGCAGATTCACATTATTAAGTAACATTCTTTATTGCTCTGTTTTTAGAGAAAAATCACTTTTCAAAGTTAGTTTATGTGTTGTGCTTAAACATATTAACTTGGTTTCCAAGATTCACTCTGACATATTTTTAAGGTTAGGTGAGTTTTAGAAAATGGAAGTACTTTGTTATTATTCTTTCGTAGTTTATTATGGAACAGTGCTGTATAACAAAGGTACAGGACAGGAGACAGAATAGTGGAATGATTAACTCCATACACTGTAGAATCTGACCGCTGGGATTTGTATTCTGGCTTCACTGCTTACCAGCTGTATGACTTTGACAAGCTATGTAATCTTTCTGATTTGGTCTCTTCATTATCATCTCATCTATAAAATGGCGATTATAATAACAAATTGGATAATTTAAGTAAAGGGAGCAGTGCCTGGCACATAGTAATTACTCAGTACACATTATTGTAGTATATAATATTATTGCCATAATTAATACACATTATTGTAGTATATAGTATCATTGCCATTAATTTTTTATTTTATGGCCTGCAGTAGTGTTTCTAATTAACTGTTTCCTTCACTTTTTATATTTGTCAGGAGAATGGCAATACTTAGCCTCTGTTTTTACTGTCAGTGCTTATTGAAACAATGAACTCTTATAAAATGACTCTAGGAATCTCATAGAACAGCTCAATTATTTGTGTTCTCTTTGTCTTGTTCTATCTGTCCCCCGATACTAAGCCTTAGTAGCGCTTTTGTCATCTGTATCTTTTCTCTCTTCAGTTCTAGCTAAATTTTATATACCATGTTAATTTTTATATTAATCTGTTTTCCAATTCTTGCTTTTAAGTTAAAATTTTTTTTGTTCCTTATTCATGTTTTTACTCTTGGCAGCTACTGGCTAGTAAGAGGACAAGTGTTCACGGCCTGGAGTTGTGGGATAGCCACTTATTCCACTGGCTCCAGTCAATGAAACTTGGTTGGAGCTGGAAGCCTCACTGTTTTTGGTCATGGGCATCTGGCTGGATATATTTTAAATATAATCCTCCTTCACATATCTGTAAATTAAGTATTAAAAACTCCATTTTGTACATGAGGAAATTGAGATAGTTATTGCCTCACTCATTGTCACTCAGCTGATAAGTAACAGAACTAATCATCAAACAGGTTTATAGATACCTTATGCAGGGTCAACCATTTTCTACTATACAATAACTGCCCTTAGTAAATGTAGTTTTTTAGCTCACAAAGCTAAAGGAAGATCACATTTATGAAGAACGCATTTCATTTTGCCTGTTATTTATTTTTAGAGACATTTTAAATCCAAAGGATGTGATCACAACCCAATTTGAAAATTCCTCTCCTAGCAAAGATTTCTGCAGCCAATCATGCCTTTCGTCTTATGAGCTAAAGAAAAAACCTGTTGTTACCATATATACCAATAGCATTTCAACTAAGTGCAGTATGTGTCAGAAGAATGCTGATGTAAGTTAATTTTACCTATATTGAGATTCTGCTCAAAGATTCAAGATATTTAACTGGCTTTGCTTATTTTGTATATGTTTGTGTGTTTTTATTTCCTAGATTCGATTTGAAGTTAAATATCAAAATATGGTACATGGTCTTTGTAGTGATGCTTGTTTTTCAAAATTTCACTCTACCAACAACCTCACCATGAACTGTTGTGAGAATTGTGGGAGCTATTGCTATAGTAGCTCTGGTCCTTGCCAGTCCCAGAAAGTTTTTACTTCAACAAGTGTCACAGCGTATAAGCAGGTATGAGTATCAGTCTGTTGCATATAGTTAGGCTCACCCCTTCTGATGAGTTGCAGAGGGATGAAATGCAAAACAAGAGCGAGCTCTTCCCATCAGCTGATGTGTGTGATTGGTGTGTGATTTCCCTTCCAGAAAAATGCGATAGATTCTGATAACCGTAAGGGTTGATTATGTTAGTGAGATGGTATACGTGAACTAGATAATTTTTTAAGGTTCCTTCATATCCAAGAATTCACAAATATAATTTCATGATTTGCTATGAGTCTGAAATATTTTGTGATATATTGGTAGTGAACAAAACCCCATACTATTGTAAATAAACTATGACCAAAGTTAAAAAGATAATAAAATCAGTGAATCTATAGCATATCTTTTCCTTTTAGAAAATATTTTTTTTAAATGTGTTTTGGAATGAATAGTAATTATTTTGCCAACATTGCCTTATTAGAATACTTTAGCTAATTTTTATTGTAATGAATAATGGATTCATTTGGTTTACTAAATATATCAATTTGTGTCACTTTAATTATCACTGAATGATTGGTCTTTAAAAAGTTTACATTTTTTATAAAAATATAATTAAAACGATTTTTTAGTTAGCAGGTTTGATTTATATTTAATTCCTCTACGCAGTTGGTAATGGATGTTCATCTTTGAAAACTCACTTTTCAAGGAATTGCAACTTTTGGCAGTCTGGTTACTACTGTCAGGAATAGAATCCATTTTATTTTTATAGATACGATCCAAAAATCAGTTTCATTCCTAATTTTGTTACTAGTATTGTACTCTATCAATAGCATAAATAATGTTCCTCTTTCACCAGAAAGATTATATAGTGAAACTTCACAATTATATATTCCTAATATTTACTTTTATATAGTGAAACTTCACAATTATATATTCCTAATATTTACTTTTCCATGTAATTTCTTACTGAGAGACCATATAGTATGTTAGTGACAGTATTTAGTGTTTAAGAGCCTGGACATTAGAGTCAGATGAAAAAAATTTACTCTCTTACTTTTCTGTTTACTTGTTAAGTTAATCTAATTAAAGATAATTTAAACTTTTTGTTAATTTTTAAAAATATCTCAGTATGTTATTGAAAGAATTCTGTGATACAGTGTACATAAATTACTTAGCATGGGTCCTGGCTCATGGTAAGCAGTCAGTAATAATGGGAATTTATATAAATGGAAGCCATTATTGTGTCTTAAAACAATAAATTTATGGGCAAATTTTATTATGAAACTCAGCTTGAAAACAGGTAGTTCTGCAGGATGACCTAAAATACATTAAACATCATTTCTGTCTCCTCCTAAAGAGTCTTACTAGTTAAATAATCTTAACAGTGGTAGACTTTCCTCTCTTAGATTGATGTCCAAGTCTGTACTGACGATGGCTCTTTGGTTCAGGGATTACCTGGTTATTATCTGATTATTTGTGGTGAGAAAAGTATGTAATGACTATCTAATTCATTACTTTTAATGTGTATGTTGGTAATACATGTGAGTAGTTACTAATTTTCTTCAGTTTACATTTTTTTATTGTCTGAAAGAACGTATTTTTCCCCCATCCTCACTTTCAGAAAAGTCTATACCTAGTGTGGCCTCGTTGTCAAACTCAAATATTTCAACCAAAGGTAGTGGTTGTAGATAACTTTTCTTTTCTTTTTTTCTTAAACAAGATGTGTGTATGTATGCTCGTATTGGGTGTGTGAATGTCACTTTATTTTCTTAACAGAATTCAGCCCAGACTCCTCCATATGCCTTGGGGAAATCATTGAGGCCCTCAGCGGAAATGATTGAGACTACGAATGACTCAGGAAAAACAGAACTTTTCTGCTCTATTAATTGCTTATCTGCTTATAGAGTTAAGACAGTTATTTCTTCAGGTAATGTTTAAATTTGATAAATTTTATACATTTATTAACTATTGAAGAATGTAACTACTTTTTTTCATTTTATTATGAACTAAATTTATCTATATGGTTCAATAAAGACCCAATATTGGTTTAGTTTCAAAGAACTGATGTTTAAGTGAAAATAGTTTTTCACTGATTTTCTTAGTTGAAATATTTTTTTTGAAGTATCATATGTGAAAAGAAAAAAAACCCCACATAAGTTCCAAGTTAGTTTTTGTGTAAATGGAACTTAATTGAGGAAGTTGTAGTTAGCTTTATAGGTTATTGTAAAGTTCCTTGATTTTTGTTTTGTATATTATTATTTGTATTTTTATTCTAATACATTTTTGGATTTTTTCATTAGTGTAACTTATCTGTTTTTATTTTTTGTTACCAAGGTGTCCAGGTTTCATGTCATAGTTGTAAAACATCAGCAATCCCTCAGTATCATCTAGCCATGTCCAATGGAACCATATACAGCTTTTGCAGCTCTAGTTGTGTGGTGGCTTTCCAGGTATGATCTAAGGTGGTATTTTACCCCTTCAGTTCTCTTAGGGATTGGTCTGTGGCAAAATGTTAATTGCTGAAGGTCTATACTTGTAAAAAATTCTGTTCAGGTGTGGTCCCAGAGGTCATCTGCAAAATGTCTGAGCCCAGGTGTTGAGCCTCAGTGCTCTCTTCGTTATTCAGAGTTCTAAGCTCACTTTTTCCCATGGCTCTCTCCCTTTCAAAAGGATAGATGCTAGGATATGGTTTGGATACATGGTATGGTGATTTGTTCATGTGTCCCTCCCTCTCATCCTGGCCCAGACACATAATGACTCCTGCCATGGAATGATAAGCCTCCAATTTCTTGTCACATTTTCTCCTCACTCTCTGTGAGACACACAGAAAGTATAGTGATCCTTCAGGATGGGAAGATGCCTGGTGCGGTGTCCTTGGCACTAAGAAGAACGAGACTACTGGTGGCCACTATGCTCTTTAATAGCCATCAGAGGCTGCTTGGTGATGGGAGTGCAGGTGGAGCAGTATCTTGGGGGAAAAGAGAGGCCTGCTCTAATTTTTTAGGGTCAGATATACTAGAGGTGTTTCTCTGGAAAGCGTGCCTTTCTCAGTCCTTCTGTTCTGGAAGTATGCCATTTAAATTTTTTCTGAGTACTACTTTATAAATTTTAAAGAAATGTTTCCAAGGGAATTAATTTATTAAAATGAGAAAATGAAAATTACCAAGTTCCATTATTTCTCAGTTATTAAAATGTTTGCCTTATTTGTGTTCATTCAGAATGTATTTAACAAGCCAAAAGGAACAAATTCTTCAGCGGTACCCCTGTCTCAGGGCCAAGTAAGCCCGCCCTCCAAGTCAGCAGGAGGAGGTAACACCTCTGCCATTTCCCCCAGCTCCATCAGTAGCTCTGCTGAAGCCAGTCTTCAGTCTCTTGCTGCGCAGTCCCACCAAGTTGCTTCAACCCATGCCATTGTTAAACTCAAGTGTCAGAACTGTAACCATCTGTTTGCCACAAAACCAGAACTACTTTTCTACAAGGTAAAGAGAGATCATGAAAGTAATTTAATATAAGCTTATCCAATAGAAGCATTTTTGTCTCTTCATCTTTGACAATCAATTTACTTTGAAATAGAGGGAAAGGATTTCTTAAAGATAAGCGACTGTTTAATTAGGTTTTAATGACTATTCTTTCTCTGCAGGGTAAAATGTTTCTGTTTTGTGGCAAGACTTGCTCTGATGACTATAAAAAGAAAAATAAAGTTATAGCAATGTGTGACTACTGTAAACTACAGAAAATTATAAAGGAGACTGTACGATTTTCAGGGGTCGATAAGCCATTCTGTAGTGAAGGTAAAGAACAAAGTTCACTTTTATCCCCAGAGCACGTAGTTGTAATAAAGTATTCAATATGAGTTAGGCTATTAATCCACAATTAATTTTCAAGTAATTTGTGTTCTATGAGGTATAATCGAAGGCTTTTTAGTTGAGTTTATACTTAATTCACTTTAAAATCTGTCCTTTTAAATGTTACAATAATCTCAGTAAAGAAACTGTTGAAATGTAATTAGATCAATGGTATTAGTATAGAGTATGGAAAATCTCTTGGTAAGTTTAGGTATGACTTCAGAGATCTTTTTGTTCTTGCACTCATGTGTGAAGAGGGTACTTAAGCAATTATGGCTTCTTGGCTTAAACTTTTATATCTCTGATGTTTCTGAATATAGATGGCCTAATACTTAGAGTATATTTAAAAAGTAAGATGAGTTCGTTTTGTGAATATGGAGATTTTTCTTTAACCTAGAGGCAAATAATTGTGTCAAGTATTTAGAAATTAGCTTAAAGTTGGTATCTAATAAGACTGTAGGAACTCACTTTACCTTCTTCAAGTTAATGTAAATTTGATGTTTCTTCCTTTCTTCCCTCCTGGTTCTCAGTTTGCAAATACCTGTCTGCCCGTGACTTTGGTGAACGATGGGGAAACTACTGTAGGATGTGCAGTTATTGTTCACAGACATCCCCTAATTTGGTAGAAAATCGATTGGAGGGCAAGTTAGAAGAGTTTTGTTGTGAAGACTGCATGTCCAAATTTACAGTTCTGTTTTACCAGGTAAATGTATAGACCTCTTTGGCTTTCTGAAGTTCACAAAAATTATTTTCTGTTTAAAATATGTTCAGATTTTGTGAATAAAAATTTGTGTTTAAAACTGGGTAAAATAAACTATGGGCTCCTAAAGCAAAATTCAGTTGATTATAAACTTGAAATCTTTGGGATAAAGAGCATAGAATTTCCGGAGACTGCTGTTATTTGAGGATGTGTCCCTTTTATTTTTTTGCTTTTCTCTAAGGCACATTGACCTTAGTTATAACTTTGAGTTCTTTCAAGTTAGAACTTGATGCAGTTATGTTGACTTAAGCCTCTCTCATTCAGAAGGTTACCCTGAGGAATTTGAAGTCAGACCTTGTTCTCACTTCATAAGTCAAATGACTATGACCTTTTTACCCACCTCCTTTTAAAAAAAATTACTTTGTTGAAAGTCTGACAACGAAAGCTACAATTAATTGAACCACTAATACAAGTCCAATGCTTCATAAGTGTTATTTCATTTAATCCTTAACACTATCCCAAGAGATAGGTATATTATTGCCAGTTTATAAATAAGGAAAAAGAGCGTGGTCCAGGGAGATTAAGTAATATGCCCTTGAAGATGTTGGTAGATGACAGATAGCACCTATAACACTGCAGTGAAATCACCTGTTTACTGGTCTGCCTATCCCCCAAAATATAATTCTTTTTCATAATTATATGACCAAGACTATCTCAGTGCTCAAAACAAAGGATACCTCATTAGATATTTGTTGAATGATCAAAGTTTTTATGACCCAAAGCCTATATTCTTTGTATTGCAATATGCTGCCTCCTAACCTTTTAAAAATAGAACCTATCTTTAGATTCCTTAATTGATAATTTTAATACAGGAGATCAACTTTTATATTCTAATTGAGGGTATCTATATGAAACAAATAAGTGCGTGTGTGTGTATTTTTTTTTCCTCCCTCTTTAATCTCCCCCACCCTTCAACCGCCCCTAACCTATGGATGTTGCTGTTTCCCCTTAAGAACTGGATCTCTGAAGGTGGGGCATCCCCTCCCACACGCTCACAGCATGCACCCGGGGCCTGGCGCACCCGGGGTATGGTCCGTGGCTCCACCTGGGGCGTGAACCCAGGACCTTTTGTGTGCAAAGCAGACGTGCTAACCATTATACTATGGAGCCACCCCCGTACATATATTTTTAACAGTAATATTCTAAGGTAGGAACCTTACATTTTGTGGTTGCGACTGACTCATATATCCTGTTTTCATAGTGTCTTCTGGTTTTATGATTAATTTTATCTTTTCATTATTTTATAGTTTTAAGCCTATCCTATTTTACATTTCTTTCTCAGATGGCCAAATGTGATGCTTGTAAACGACAGGGTAAGCTAAGTGAGTCCATAAAATGGCGAGGAAACATCAAACATTTCTGTAACCTATTTTGTGTCTTGGAGTTTTGTCATCAGCAAATTACAAATGACCCTGTTTCACAAAGAAAAGGTAAAATTAAACTTGGCTAATGGGATCTTTATGCTAGTGCTGGGATATAGTATCAGCATTTTAACACATTGTAAATAATAACAAAATTTCACTAGATTCAGATAGCCTGAATTTCCTTAAAATTTCCTATAAGAATCCTTAAGATTACCTTTGAGGGAAAATTAATCATGCTTTTTGCTATCATAAATACACCATGAATAATAAATGTAGAAACGCTAACTTTATAGGAAAATTAGATTTGATTGCTTTTGATTGAATTTACCTGTACACAAATAACTTAAACTAAGGGATGTATGCTATTCAGTTAATAAACTAGAATAAAAATAGAAAATTGGGGCAAACAAAGGTAGAGGATATGAGTATGTTGAGTTGCTCTGACTGGTGTAAGATTTGATCCAGAGCTTGCTTGTAGCTAAGGAAAAAAAGAACACATTAATTATATCAGAAAAAATAAAGTAGACCAGTTCTTCATGGGTAGCAAAGTTTTTCCTGGCTAAGAATAAAACAATTTTTTGCAAGTAGGACAGATAATGTGGTCAGAATATCCAGATGAATAAATACATGGCATGTCTTTAGAGTAGCTAGCTCCCTGAAGCAGGACTTCTTTGAGTTAGATTTAAAATATTTGATACTGTTCTCTGATCAAAGCCTGGAGTGCTGCTAAATTGACAGAAGCCATGTGCTTTGGCTTCTTATGGTCTGGCCCTTGTCTACCTTTGCAATCTTATTAATAAATCATCACTTAATCCAGAAATACCTTGTGCTAATCTTTTGTGTTCTCAGTTCCCTGAGACCACTCAGGTGGGAGGTAGAATATTCATTCCATAATGTGGGTTAATAAAACCAGTATTCTTAACATAGTTGAAACAGCTATATCAACAACTTATTTATAAAAATTGTCATGTTAAATTTTTATTTGAAGCAAGCTTAGGTGTAGGAATTTTAATATTCATGAATAGAAAAGCTCATCCTGAAGTTAATCCTGAAGCTAATACCTATATTTTTACCTGTTAAATATCATTTGAAGTTGATAATTTTAGAGAATTGGCCTCTCTTAAAGCTCTAATGAACACTAATCTGACCAGACTCACCCAATCCAACATTATACAGAGTTAGATATTTGCATTTCACCTTGAAAATTTAGTTGTTAAACGGTATTTTTTCGTATGTGACTCTTGTTTATACTAGGTCTTACTTTTTTATTTTAATCAGTAAATATTTCTAAGGCACCAACTGCTTCTGTGGCTCTCCCATCTGTAAGGACAAATACAACACCAGTTATAACCAGTGTGGTGTCATTGGCAAAAGTGTCTCCTGCCCAGCCTACAGAGAACACTAACAGTGTTTTAAAAGGTATGATTTGATATAAAGGCATTTGGTTAGACTGTGGAAGTGAGTGTTATCTAGTGTGAGTAGCTCTTATTGGTAATATTTACATTTATATGAGGAAACATGCTTCTGTCTTGGAGAGCCGTGGGCAGCAAGCAGAGTGGCATGGATAGGGGAGGAAGTGGTATGTATAGTTTATTTTCTTAAGAACCCAAGTAATTTTAATATTGCTGCCTTTTCTACCAGAGATTCTAATACAGGAGGATGAGATTATGGCCCAGTAATCCTTACCTTTACCAAGGACCCCAGGTGATACTGATGCCGAATTCCCTTGGACCGTTTTTGAGAAATTCTGGCTTCTTATTTCCTGTCAACTACCTTAGTGAGAGGAAAGTAACTTCTTGGTTTCAGCATTGACTTCTTTATATTCTGGGGGTAATAATGTATGTTTTAATTTATAACAGGTGCAGTAACTAAAGAGGCAGCAAAGATCATTGAAGATGTAAGTTTTATTGTTAATATTTTGCCTGATAATGCAACTTTATTTTCATTTTGAATATAGCCTTCTAACGTAGAGCTGAGTACATTTCTATTTGCAGCTTAGTCTTTAAAAAAGTGGATTAATATATTATGCATAAATTTTTGTTTTTGAATCTTAAAGTTAGATCATTAATAAGAATGCATTCATGATTTATTATTTGTGTCTGACTCCTTAATTTCTTTAAATACTTGTTAATTCCATCCTGTTGCTTATTTTTACTACATTCAAGTAATTTTCTTTTAGACCAGAAAACCTCTTGAAAAAGTTCAATACAGTGTCATTTTTTGCATCTTTGAATTATGTGTGGTTGAAAATAGTGCAAAGTAAAAATATTTAAATTCCCACTTTATGACTGAAATTCGAAATATTGTGAAACTTCCAAAAATTAAACAAAATTTTGAATAAATGCATAATTTCATATCTGACAGGCTGAAAGGATTACAAATTATGTCACTGGTATCCTGTATCAGTATCACTTAAGCAGGAAAACAAAATTCCTTTCATTCTTTATCAATAGCACATGAACCTAATGTGTTAGATCTTACGTTAATGTTTTTGCTGACTATTGTGCTGCTCTCTTAACATTTATTTGTTCATGATACAATTAAAAATAATTTTTTAAATATCAAATAACGATGCCATTCAGGTTCATTAAGTGGTGGTGCTAGTGCTAAAAAGTGTGTCTCATTCTGTTAAATTAGGAGAGTGCACCCTGCAGAATATTAGAGATTAAAAAAAAAAAAAGCATTAAAGGAAGTATACCCTTTAGTTTGCAAAATTATCTTATAACCAGGCAAGGATAATGGAATAAGTGGATAAAATCCTGTTAACACGGCTACAAGGTCAATGCTGCCATAATGCACTCCTAACTAAGACTAACCTATCATCTGTGCTAAGGCATAAAGTCTTTTTTAATGATTTGAAAGGAAGGTGACAGTGAGACAAAAAGGTTTACTACATGTCATGGTTGGCTCTCCAATTTTAAAGCTCACCAAGGTTTTAAGAATGTAAAAAGGAGCAGGCAAGCTATATCTGCTAACTCCAGAGCTATCAAAACTTTAGCTTTATCATAATTTAAAGAGTCTTTAACTTGGAAGAAAACATAATGCCTGTTAACAAAGAATCTGTGAAAGTGGTAAAGAAGGTAAATTTATGCAAAGTTTATAAGAGGATGTTGAAATTTTGCTTCGGTCCTTTCCCATGGATTAATAAAAGAAGACTTGATAGAATTAGTAAAACAAAGGTAGCAAGAAGAGGGCCTAGCAATTAGCCTGGGCCATAAAGATATTAATTAGCTGAAGTGACTGGTATAAGCTTTTGACCATATTTCAGCAAAAACTGCTATTTTTGAAGAAGATGATCCAAATGTGGATTGCTGTTCCATGATGGCAAGGCAAAAGATGGACAATGTGTCTGCCTATCAAGAAGTCTGCAGTGAAAAAAAATGAGAGAGAAAACAAACCCCATTAGAGTCATTCTTTAATAAAAGTCTTTTCAGGAAGTCAGACCAGCTTCACCATAATGTGGAGAGATAGCTTGTCCTAATTTGATACCTCTTAACTTCAGTATTTGTTTTGTTGGAAGATGATAATGATAATTACTTTAAGGCAGTATACTATATTAGTGACTGTCATTAAGTTAACTTTGTAGTTATTTGTATATTATATACTATACTTATTTTAAAATCACATGATTAATCATTGTTATAGAATTATTTATTATTAACCACATCATAAAATTAAAATGTCAATGTATTTTTTATATTAAGTATTAATATGTATTATAAAAATGTTCTATATGAGTTGTAGATTTATGTCTTCTGAGAATCCATCCCTTCTCAGTTCATATGTATGGAACAATTAGTCTTTAATTGTGTTAGTTTTGAATTATTCAGTTCTCAGAAACATATCCTTCATATTAAATGTGACTGTCTTACATGTGTTTTCCTTATGTGGAGTCCTTCTATAATTCACCAGTCATTTAAACTGTGTTACAGAGTAGCTCTGATTAATATTTTCAGTTTAGTCTATTAAAAAGCATAATATTAATGTGTAGTACTCTATAATTTTTAAAAACCCTGACAGTTTTAGAGTTTGTTCTTTGTTTCTCTGGGACTTTAGTGTGAATCTTCTTCTAGTTATTTAAATGGTCTTACATTTTGGAGAAAGCTAAGATATAGGAAAGTACACAGAAGAAAATCTACTGTAAAAGTCAGCAAACTTTTTGTATAAAGTTGTAGATAGTAAATATTTTAGACTTTGCAGGCCACCCGGTCTCTGTTGCTATTTCTCACCTCTGCCATTGTAGCGCAGTAAGTGGTTGTGTTCCAATAAAACTTTATTTACAAACAGGTGGTGGGCTAGACTAGGCTCCGAGCCTACTTTGCCAACTCCTGCTCTACTATGTTCCCCATCATCCAGAATTAAACATTGTTGGATTTGGCTTATTTGCTTTTTTCCCTACCTGTTTTTCTCTTTTTAAAAATGAATCACATCTATGGCCATGCCACCCTGAACAAGCCCGATCCCATCTGATCTTGGAAGCTAAGCAGTGTCAGGCCTGGTTAGTACTTAGATGGGAGACCACCTAGGAAGACCAGGTGCTGTAGGCGTAAAAAATAAAAAATAAGGGATTGTAAGCTGACAAGGTCCTTGCAATCTGTGAAGTCAACCAAGGGTTGCCTTGCCTAAAAAAATAAAATAAAAATGAATCACTACTACCAGTCCCCTTTTCGTATTCCTAGATGTTACTATTCTGAGTCTGCTGTGCATCCTTTCAGACCATTTTTAATCTTTCACATTCTTATACACAAATCCATGGAAAATAATATTGTTTTAAAAAATATCCATGTGATATTTAATAGATTTGGTGCATTCTTTTTGACTGCTATATAGTATTATATTGTATGTAGGTACCACATTTTATCTGTCCATTGCCTTATTGATGAACATGAGGTTGCTTCCAGTTTTTCACTATTCAAAACTCTGCTGCAATGAACATCCTTGTAGATGTTTCCTTGTGCACATGTGCAGGTGTTTTTCTAGTGTAGATATGGAAAGATGGAATTTTGGAGTTAAAGCATATCTGCATTTTTAGATTTTAAATTGCCCCTCAGAGTGGCCATTCCAGTTTTTATGCCTGCCAGCAGTTTATGATTGTACTTACTTCCCATAACCTCATTATCATTTAGTGTTATCAGATTTAAAATTTTTTTTGTCAGTCTGTTAGTAATACCTTGTCTTATTTTGCATGCCACTAATTACTAGTGAGTTTGCTTATATTTCTGTTTTTGAACCTCTGAATTTTCTTTGAATTTCTTGTTTTTAATTTCTCCCCATTTTTGTTTTGAATTGTCTCTTTTCTTTATTGATTTATAGCAGTGGTCCCCAACCTCTTTGGTACCAGGGACTGGTGTTCCTATGAGAATCTAATGCCTGACGATCTGAGGTGCAGCTGAGGCGGTGATGCTAGCACTGGGGAGCAGTTGCAAATACAGATGACGCTTTACTTGCTCCCTCGCTGCTTACCTCCTGCTGTGCGGCCCAGACCGGTACTGGTCTAAGGCCGGGGGGTTGGAGACCCTGAATTTATAGAATTTCTTTGTATATTCTGGGATTGTCCCCCTTCCTACTCTTCATTTTCATCAACACAAAAACATGCAGTAATACTTCTTGAAAAAAATACTTTTTAAACACCATGGCCCTCTAGCCACTGTCCCATTTCTCTCCTCTGCTTTCCATTTTGGAAAAACTCCTCTAAAGGTGGCCTCTACTTGCTGCCTCCATTTTCTTACCTGTAATCTTTCCTTAGCTCACTCTAGTCAGGCTTTTGTCTTCATTCCTCTATTGAAACTGCTCTTCAAGGTCACTATCAGTTTTTATTTTGCCAGATCTGATGGTCAAACTTCAGTTCTCATTATTCTCCTCATTCTTTCATTAACACTTGATACAGTTGATCTTTCCTTCCTTCTTAAAGTACCTTGTCCCTTTTCTCAATCTACATTACTTCTTAGGAGATTCACACAGTCCTCTGATTTTAAACACCACCCAGATGGTGGCCAATTCCCAGTTTTATTTCTTTTGCCCTGACCTCTGAGTTCCAGATTTATATTTCCAGCTGTCTGCTTGACATTCAGATGACTAATTACACTTAATAGCCATCTCAAATAATATGTCTAAAACAGGATCCTTTTATCCCTCCCAGACTTCTTCTTCAGTTCTTTACTTGTTACCATTTCTATTGCTATCTTCTTAGTCTAAGCCACCATCATCTTTCTTCTGGATTATTGCAGTGACCTCTTACCTCTTACTGCATGTTTTTGTGCTTCCATTCTTGTCCTTTACAGTTTTTTTCCTCCATACTATTTCCAGAATGATCTTCTTAAAAGAAATCAGATTGTGTCACTCCACTGCTTAAAAACCTTCAATGAAACTCTGAAAAAGAAGAATAAAGATGGAGAAGAGCTAATTTTCAAAATTATAGGAAAACTACAAATTTTATAAAGCTACATAGTTAAAATAACTGATACTGAAGCTGTGAACAGGTGGACAACTCAATAGAAAGGAAATCCAAAAATAGATCTAAATATAAATGGGAATTTAGAAATAATAAAGGTGGTATTTTAGATCAGTAGAAGAAATCTAGATTATTCAATAACTAGTGCTATGACAACTAAATAGACATACTGAAGAAAATACAATTGGATTTCTACCTCACAAGCCAAAATGAAGACCAGATGGAGAAAAGACTTAAATGTAAAAAAATACTAAAAGTACAAGGAAAACATATAGGAAAGAATTTTAATGCAGAAATAGGGAAAGTCTTTCTAAATCTGCCACAAAACCCAGAAGTCATCAAAAATTTGTTAGGGAAATTTATATTTCACAGTCAAAAGACAAATGACAAAAACCAAAAGGTTGCAATTCATGTCATAAAAGGTTAGTTTTTTTTCTTTTTATATGTAAAGAACTCCTACGAATCAGTAAAAAGACCTAACACCTATTGGGAAAATGGGCAAAAGTATGATCCATCAGTTTATAAACTAGGAAATAAAAATAGTTCTTAAACATATACAAAGGAATTCAACTTCAAAATTAGAGAAATGCCAGTTAGAACTACAGTTTTATCAGATTGGCAGAGATAAATATGATGGATAACACTGTTAAGGCATTCTTACATATTGCCAATAGCAGTCGGTAAAACTGCTACAGAGGGCAATTTAGTAAAACCTGTAAAAATTTGAAATGTAAATACCAATTTACCCAGGAACTCCATTTTTAGGAATTTATCTTTCAGATATATTTCACACGTTTATGAAATGAAGTATGTCCAAGGAAAATAATTGCAGCATTGTTTGTAGTAGCAGAAACTTGAAAACAACCTAATTGTTTTATCAGTGATCAGGGCCACTGTGAGTTCATCCTGAGTTATTGTACTAATTAGGAAAAAAAACCTCCTACATAGGAAGAGCCTGAAATGCACCTCTCTCCAATCCACTCTGAGTCACATGGCCTGGCAAGTGGAGTACCCTGCACAAGCATACATAGTGGCTCTGTTGGAGCTGTAATTAAATGTTATATCCATACAGTGCAATACTAAGCAGTTAAAAAGAATGAGGCATTTCTATATGTATAGACATAGAGTGGTCTTATAAATAAGTGAAAAAAGACAAAACTATAGCATACTACTGCCATTTGTATTTTAAATATACACACAAACACACGAAACATATGCCTGTACAAATGTACAGAATGGCTCTGGAAGGCAGCCAATAAATTGATAATAGTGGTTTCCTCTGAGGAGAACTTAATGACTGAGGGAGAATGTTAAGAGGCAGAATTATTATTTTTTCATTGTTTATTATATGAATCTTTGAATTTATGTCACATGTTATATTACTCATTCAAAAAATATGCACAGAATTTTTTTAAAGCTAAAGGAAAACAGGGCAAAGGATATGAATAGTTCACGGAAGATGAAATACAAATAGTGCTTAAACATGAAAAATACCTAACCATGCTACTGTTAGATAATTTTCACTTGAGAAATAAATGAAAAGTCTGATAATACTGTTGTTGACTAGAGTGTTAGGAAGCAGGCTCACATACATTGCTTAAGGTTATTTAATTTGATATGACGTCTATGAAAAGCAATTTGGCGGGACCATCATAATTAGAGCCTATATATAATATATAGATTTTATTATAATTTTTACCCACCAAACAGCACTTAAAAGACCTTATTCTACAGATATAATAGCACATGTATAATTAATTTATGTGTAAGGATATTTATTGCAGCATTGTTTATAACAACAAAATATTTATAACATTTAAATGTTCAATAGCAGAGATGCTTCAAATTACCTGAGATTCATTCAATGTATAAAGCTGTTACTAAGCAGCTTTATACAAGGTTATGTAAATATACCTCCAAGATAGCTTGCCTAAGTGACAATACAAGGTGTAGAACTTTGCTAATAATATGCTACCATCAGAAGCAACTTATTTAATTACATAGACCATCTCTAGAAGAATGTATAAGAAATTGAGAACAGTGGTTGTGTTCAGCATCGAGTCTGGATAGATGGCAGACAGGCATGGAAAACTTACTTTTTATGTAGACACTTTTATACCTTTTTGAATTATTATATAACTTGAAATTATTGCCTCTATAACCAGTGGCTTTTCCATCTTACTTAAAATATAAGCCTAATTTTTTGTCTTTATTAACTCAGACCTTCCAGATCATACACAGTTTGGCTTCTGCCTACCTCTCCAAACAGATCATTCTAGCCCCTGCCTACTTTTTTTCAGCCTTGTTCTTATTGCTATTCCTAAAAAATTCCAAGCTCTTCCCTACTTCAGGGCTTTTGTACCTACAATCTTGCCTGGAATCCTCTGACCTCAGGCCTTTGTATGACTTGTTCTTTTGAACATTCAAAAGGTCTCTGCTCAGATGTTTACTCCATTACCCTTCCTCCATACCATCTCTCTTTATTCCCTTACTCTGCTTTATTTCTTTCATAGCACTTATCACTACCTAAAATTATACATTATATATTTGTTTTACTTTTTTATCTTCTTTGCCTCCCTCTAGAGTGTAAGGCCCATAACAGCAGACTTTTTCTTTTTTTCTGTTGTATCCCCCCAGGGCTTAGAACAGTATCTGGCTTGTAGTAAACATTCAGTAAATATTTACTGAATAAAAAAGAAAAACATTTTAAATAAGTTCTCTCACTGTATTGTTGTTTGACTTTGCAAAAGAAAATTCAAGGTAGTAAAATGTATCAGTCTTTTCTACTTTGTAATTCTTTTGTGTTTTATTTAAGAATATTTGCTCCTTGTTCTGGTCATTTGAAAGTTCTCCAGTATATTTAAAGTTAAATTTTTTCATGTTGAAGTCTTTAATCAATATGGAATATATTTTTGCATCTGGTCTGAGGCCAGATCTAAATTTTCTGAATAGCCAGTTGTCCTAATCAGTGAAGATTATTTTCATTGTTTTGATTGTACTTACTATAGCCAGAGTATTTTATTTTTTTCCCCACTCCCTTTAACGACACCTTGGCCATTTAACTATCTGAATTAGTCTTTTTGTTACCTCTCCTTTGAATTATTTTTTTCTTTAAAAATTCATTTATTGAGATAATATATAAGCCTTATGTTTAATGACCTAGTGTCTTGTTATGCCGTGTGGTCTATTGATCAGGATCAGCCTAACTTAGGAATTTTTTATTTTTATTTATTTATTTTTTTAATTGAAGAAATGATTTAAATTCCTCCCACCACAACCCCTCCGCACCCACATTCTACCTCCCCTTTACTCCCTACCCTCTGGTAACCACTAGTCCATTGTCCATGTCCATGAATCTCTGTATGTTTGTCCTGTTCATTAGTTGCTTTTAGGTTTATATCCCACATATAAGTGATATCATGTGATTTTCAACTTTTTATGTCTGGCTTATTTCGCTTAGTATGATTATCTCAAGGTCCATCCATGTTGTTGCAAATGGCAGTATTTCATCTCTCCTTATGGTTGAGTAATATTCCATTGTATATATGTACCACAGCTTCTTTAGCCAGTCATCTATTGTAGGACGCTTCAGTTAGCCAGAGTATTTTAAAAAATACGTAAATGGAACTAATACCGATTAGAAGAATTAGGAATTAGTGTATATTTTCTAAAGAGATGTCTATTGTAATTACTCTTTAAGAGGAATAATATTTATTTCTCTTAATTTCTGCCACCTTTGAATTAATAGCGGTTATAGTCAGTGATAAGATACTAAAAAAAAATCTTTGGTTTCTGAATTTGTTTTGAACTAGGGAAGTGCACAGGCAGATGCCACGAAACTTCTATGTTCCCAGTCTTCCAGGCTTTTAAAGAACAAAGCATTATTGTGCAAGCCCGTCACACAGACCAAGGCCATCTCTTGCAAGCCACATACACAACACAAGGAATGTCAGACAGGTATGTGTCCTTGTGCTTTCTACATGTTGAAAGTTTGTTTTCTATTTTCCTTGGTTTTGTTTTTTTTTTAAGAAAGGAAATTAATGTCATTGGTAATATCTTAAATTTGAAAACATTAATTTTTGGATCACATACTTCAAACATCTAATTCATTCTTTATAATTATTGTCATTAACACTAATAACTACTAAATTGAATCAATACGCATCTAAAGCATTATGTGTAGAGTGGACAAACATTTCCCATGTGTGCACTACTTTTTCACATGAACAAACAAGCTATTATAATTATTAAAGTATAAATTTATTTAAAAGCATTAGTGATTTAACTTTAGTTCTTGTTTTTAAGCACTGTGAATTGATTTGTGAATTAGAGGTATAACCATATGTCTGAGGTGTTGATAATCAGGAAAATTGTTTGAATTCATACTTGAAATGGTTGTAAACTATTGCTTCAGTCCACGTTATAGCTTTTAATCCCACTACCCTTATATTTTCAATTACTTTCACAGCCTACTCTGCCCAAAGCATTTTTTGATTTTTGTTGTTATTGATAATTTTACTTCACAGAATATACTTGTATTTAAAAGTTTAGTCTGTCAACAAGGAATCGTGAGTTTTTATGTAGAGTGCCTTTCTTTTGGTAGGAGTCAAGGAGAATCCTGTTTTCCTTCCTCAGTAAATTTGATTGCTTTATATTCCTGTTAAAATGACACACTCTCTGTGTACATTAATTTATATTATATATACATTCACATGTAGAAAGGTAGTAAAGGATCTGTGGACATCTAAATGCGTGTATGTGTGTATGTGTACATTTAAAAATTTTTCTATATTAAATATTGGATTGTATTCTCTATACTGTTGTAAACTGCTTTTTCATTTGACTTTGCATTGAAACCATTCCATATCAATATAAATTTAAATATACATTGCGATTCTTAACGGATGCTTAGATTCCAATGTATATAACATATCCATTCCTCTAAGATTGGACATTTAGATTAATTCCAGTTTCTTAATATTATAAATGATGTTGAGTTAAGCTGTATAAATGAATATTTGTCCATTGTCTAATTATATCCTTAGGCTAAATCCTAAGTAGTGGAAATTACAGATTCAAAAGCTATCATAGACTTCTAACGCTTTTGATACATGTTGCAAAATTGCTCTCCTAAAAAGTTATATCAATTTATGCTCCAACCAGCAGTGTTTGAGAGCATCTACCTCTCAGCACCCTAACACTTATCTTTTTCCCTCAACTTTAATTTGGAAAAAATTTAAAATTCAGAAAGATTGAAAATACAGCACAATAAACACCAATAATAGCCTTCATCTAGTTTCACCAAATGTTAACTTTTCGCAACATTTCTTTTTTTCTGAACTTTAAAAACGTGAAGTAATTTATTCTTAATTTGAGGTAGTCTGTGGACTTAATTCCAGTCATCTGTTGAATACATAGCCATAATTCCAGTCATCTGTTGAATACATAGCATTGCTAGTTTATGTACCACAGCCTACAGTTTTACTTTGGTCTGTGACCAAGCTTTGGGCAAAGGAGAAATTCAGTTTTTAATGACATAGAAGTATCATGGTTTGTGTTTAAACTTTTTTAGTGTTTTCCTTTGATAAATAAAAACAGTAAAAAATATAAATTTTAAATATGTGGGGGAAAACATAAAGAATACTGCTTATTTGTTCTTGAAAATAACAGAATTCAAATATTTCATTCAGATTTACCTGTACCTAATGAGAAAAGTGATGTGGAACTTGATTCTCCACCTGCAAAGAAAAAAAGAATAGGTTTTTTCCAGACTTATGATGCAGAATATTTAAAAGTTGGTTTTATTATCTGTCCGGGATCAAAAGAAAGTTCACCAAGGCCCCAGTGTGTCATTTGTGGAGAAATATTATCTGCTGAAAACATGAAGCCAGCAGATCTTTCTCATCATTTGAAGACAAAACATTCAGAATTAGAAAACAAACCAGTAGATTTTTTTGAACAAAAATCTCTTGAAATGGAGTGTCAAAACAATTCTTTTAAAAAGTGTTTACTAGTTGAAAAGTCACTTGTGAAAGCTTCTTATTTAATTGCTTTCCAAATTGCTGCCAGCAAGAAGCCATTCTCCACTGCTGAAGAATTAATTAAACCATATTTAGTAGAAATGTGTTCAGAAGTTTTGGGTTCAAGTGCTGGAGACAAAATGAAAACCATTCCTCTTTCTAATAATACGATTGGACACAGGATTGATGAACTGTCTGCAGACATTGAAGATCAGCTGATTCAAAAAGTCAGAGAATCAAAGTGGTTTGCCCTTCAGATAGATGAGTCTTCAGAAATCTTAAATAACACCCTTCTTTTGTGCTATATTCGTTTCATTGATTATGATTGTAGTGATATAAAAGAAGAATTATTATGTTGTATTGAAATGCCTTCTCAACTAAATGGTTTTGAAATATTTGAACTAATAAATAAATATATTGATAGTAAATCTCTGAATTGGAAACATTGTGTTGGTCTCTGTACAGATGGGGCTGCAAGCATGACTGGCAGGTATTCTTGTTTAAGGACAAAAATTCAAGAAGTTGCCGTGAATACAGTGGCATTTACACATTGTTTTATTCACCGTGAACATTTAGCAGCAGAAAAGTTGTCTCCATGCTTACATGAAATTCTTTTGCAGTCAGCACAAATTTTAAGTTTTATAAAGAACAATGCATTGAATTCACGTATGTTACAAATTTTGTGTGAAGAGATGGGGTCTGAACATGTGAATTTACCACTTCATGCTGAAGTACGTTGGATATCAAGAGGGAGAATTTTAACACGATTATTTGAATTACGACATGAAATTGAAATTTTTTTAAATCAAAAGCATTCAGATTTGGGCAAGTATTTTCTTGATGAGGAATGGATTGCAAAGCTGGCCTATTTATCAGATATTTTTTCACTTATAAATGAACTAAATTTAAGTCTCCAAGGAACTATGACTACGCTCTTCACTCTGTATAATAAAATGGATGTATTTAAGGAAAAGTTAAAAATGTGGTTGAAGCGCACACAAGAGAATGATTTTGACATGTTCCCTTCGTTTTCCGAATTCTCAAATTCATCAGGCTTAAATATGAGAAGCATTGCAAGCATTATTTTTGAGCACCTGGAAGGACTTTCTCAACTGTTTAATGACTGTTATCCACAAGAAGATTTGCGTTCAGGAAATTTGTGGATAATTAATCCTTTTATGAATCACCAAAATAGTAATCTCACGGACTTTGAAGAAGAAAAACTAGCTCAGTTATCTTCAGATTTAGGATTACAATCAGTTTTTAAATCAATGTCTATAATTCAGTTTTGGATAAATGCAAAGACAAGTTACCCAGAACTCCATGAAAAGGCAATGAAGTTTTTATTGCCTTTTTCAACTATTTATTTATGTGATGTTACATTTTCAGCTTTGACTGAGTCAAAACAAAGAAATCTGTTGGTTTCTGGCCCTGCCCTAAGACTTGGAGTCACATCTTTAATTCCAAGGATAGAAAAATTAGTAAAGGAGAAAGAATAGTAAATGCATATTGCTTAATATCAAATTCTATAAGTTTGTGTTAAATTTTGTATGAGATAAGTATCCTAAAATATAATTTCCTAATGTGGATATGTGTTTTCGGTGATTAAATGTTTTAATTTTCTCATTTTGTTGAAGAATTTAATAATTACAGATGTATACATAATTATACTTTTAATAGGTAGAGAATTTAGCTATTTTATTGACTGATCAAATAATTTGGATTAGTGACAAAGATGTAGGTAATGAAAGGCTCAATTTATAATGTAATAGCATACCTGAAACTTTAGCTTGGCCTTTAGAAGCATGTGGGACATTTTAGTCTTCAGCCTGCCTCCTACTCTAGCAGGTTGTATGTAGGTAGACAACATATCTGAGCAACTTGGCTACTAGGAAATGGAAGCAGCAGGAGAGCTTGAAACCCCTTTTGGGGGCCTCTCTGGTCCACTAGACCAGGGTTTGACAAGCCTTTGTTATAAAGGGTCAGACAGTGAATATTTTAGGCTTTGCAGACCACATACATGACAACTATAGTACTCAATTCTGTGATTGCAGCACAAAAGCAGCTGTAGACAATACACAGACAAATGTATGGCTGTGTTTCAATAAAACTTTATGAACACTGAAATACAAATTCCTATAATTTTCCTGTGTCATGAAAGCTGCCTTTAAAATTTGTTATCATAAAAGATGTAAACAAACATCATTAGCTGGGGAAGGGGGAGGGAGTAAAGAAAAAACAGATAGCTGATGGAATTTGGCCCATAGTTTGTTTGCCCATTTAGGTCTAGACAGATTTCCAGGTAAGAGCAAATGGCCCAGGAGTGGCCTGTAGTATCTTGTTGCCGAAAGCCTTCCGTCTGTCCCAGGGCTGCAAATATCTGAATTTTCAAAGACCTTTTACATTTTAATTTCAGCTGAGAGAAATTTGAGGAAAAATACATTTCAGCAGATACAAAAGAGCAATTTATTTTATAAAGACTAGTTATTGATTTATTACTAATAATTTCATAAGTTAATTTACTAATTTGCAAATAACTTTTTGAGCTCTTGCATGTGCCATTGTGCTAGGCCTGTTACAGAATCAAGAGGACTGATAGGGCATTATCTCTATTTACAGAAGAAGCAAATACTGAGGCCCGCTCAAGTTAGGTGACAGCTCAAATCGCAAAGCTAAGGTGGCACAGGCAGGAATGAAGCCCTTGTCTTTTGATCCTAACGGAGCTCTTATGCGAGCCACGTCCAGATACCCATGTTTGACTCCATACTGAGAGAGACTTTCCCTGGATTCACAGGGTCCCATTTAGTCAGTTAAGAGCCAGGGGCCTCAGTGTCCCCATCTGCAACAAATATTTCCCACAACCAGGACAGGGACAAAAGAGGGCGGCAACACCCCTAAGAGATGAGGAAAGGGAAGATCTGGCGCAAGTCCTCCGGCCTCCCGGGGGCGGGAGGAAATAAACTTACGGTGGGGGCGGGTTCTCGGCTGGGCCTGCCCTGGGGCGCGCGAGTCCGCCCTCCCGGAGGGCCTGCACGGCCATGGCGCTCCTACTCACCGCTCTGCGCGTCCTGCTGGGTGGCTTCTTCGCGCTCACGGGGGCGGCCAAGCTCTCCGAGCAGATCTCGGCTCCTGCGTCGCAGCAGATGGTGAGCGGCTTGGCGTGGG